GGACTTGACAGCACTCAGCAGCAACATCGAGTATATATCCATTGCCATCCAGTTGATTCCGACTCATAGTGACCCTGGGTAGGATTTCTGAGGTTGTAAACAGGCCCTGAAGTTCAGGGCGGTAGGTCTGAAAAAGGCTTCCCAGAAATGATGACACAAAGCTGGGTCTCTGAAGTATATGAGGACAAGAAATAAAGGCTGGATATTGCAGGCAAAAAGACAGAAATACATAAGGTGGGTAAAAGAAACTTCTTCCTTCCCAGGGCCTTGAGGAGTCTGTGGGCCTTCTGACCTTTGCGGTGACATCAGGCCTAGCTTCAGGCACACCGCTATTGGCTTTTCTGGGCACCGGGAGCCTTTTCCAAGCCCCTCAGCCCTGTCCTCTGGACCCCCGCCCCGTGCCAGTGTCCAGGCCCCTCACCTCCAGGCCCTGTGCGTTGAGGGGATGACTGGTGGTGCAGTTGCTGAGTCCTGTAACCTTGGTCATGTAGAGTAGTGGCTGACCTTCCAGAGCCTGGGGACAGCTGAGCTGCAGTGTGCCCCGGCTAATGGAGCTGGGGCCCAGGTTGATGAGCTGAGGAGGGGAGAGCACAACCATCAGGAGAAAGGAGAGAGACCCTGGGTCACCTCAGCCTCGGAACTGGCTCAATGGCCCTTAACAACAATAGCAAATACTCCTGGCAGAGGCCTGGTCCTTCCTTTCCAACTTCCCTGGTGGAGTCCCACATTGCCCCTGCCCCAGGCATATCACGCACCAGCCCCTCCTCCTCTGCCTCTCCCCACAGGTGACTGGCCCCTGTCACCTGTCACTCAGACTACCTCGTCTTCTCTGTCACTCATACCATTCTCTCCTTCATGCCCTCTCAGTTGCCTAGAACCCAGTCCTTCCTGCCCCTCTTTCTCCTCACCTCATAGACATGGTGGACAGCAGGGCCCAAGTCCCCTTCCTCCTGAGGCTGGTCTCGGGGATGCCAGTCACCCACTGGAAATAGTACTGCCTCAGGCTTGGAGACACTAAGGAGTCGGGTGATTTAGAGGTGAGTGGCAGGCGCCCACATACTTCCCTCCCTAGAAGTCTGTCTCCCTCCCAAACAGTCCTCATTTGGCCCTGGCACTGACCCGTTAAGAGAAACCTGGGCCTGAGCCTCCACAGAGAGCCGGAAGGAGACCACGTCACTTTGGGAGTTGTTGAGATTCTTGCTGTAGAGTGGAAACGAGACTGAGTGGTGCTAATACCCAGTGAAACTAGAATTTTGCCCAGCACCAGGTCCCATCCCTGATGACCCCACCCACTCCCTACCTGAGGATCTGGAAGTCAAACTGGATGGTTTTCTTCGTGTCCCGGAGATGAGGGACTGTGAATCGAAGGCCACCCCAGATCTATGGGATAGGAAGGGAGAGAAAGGGGGTCTGTTAGATTGGATGCCTGCCTCACCCCAGTTCCAACTCTCTTTTTCCCTGCCACAGCTATGCTCTGGACTGACTGGTCACTGTGGCTACCTCCTTCCCTTCTCTCTGAGACTTACACTGGCTCCTGCTTTCATGGGATTGCCCAGGTCACACACCAGCTGGCGGCTCTGGTTCACAGCAAAGTAGTCACAGCTCAGACTGGAGAAGTTCTGGTGGTGGGATTGGGACAGATCAGATCTGGGTGTTCCCTCTGGTCAGGCTTTCCCAAGTTCCCCAGAGAGTCCCTTCTCACCCCTGGGTTTCTGGCGAGTCCTGAGTACTCAGCCTCTGGGGGCGCCGTGACCCGAAGCTCAGCCTCATAGGCGCCGCCCTCACCCACATTCTGGGCGTGGAACGTTAGGTTCAGGGAGTTCTTGTCACCCAAGTAAACGTGGTTCTGTTCCCTGGAGGGGGTGGTTCAGAGGTCACACAGGATAAGGGACACTGAAGAATGAATCCCCAAGCCAGGACGATGAGCCATAATAACAGTAACAATTCAGTAATCACAGACACAGTTCTAACTCTATGGAGGAGTAAGCTAGATGCTTTATGAAGATTATTTCATTCAATGTTTCTATAAAAGCCAGAGAAACAGATGCTATTATTCCCACTATACAGGGGAAGCAGCAGAAGCACAAAGAAGTAATTTCCCAAGAGTACACAGTTTGTCTCAGGTCTCTACTTTTTCAGGTGCCAAGACTCTGCTCACTTCTGGGCCCCACCTATCCTGCTGGTTGGGTTAGCAGTAGGGTCAGGGCTAGGGTTCTGGGTAGGGGTAGGGGTATTGTTAGGGATAGGGTCATGTTCGGGGGTCAGTGTAGAGGTAGGGTTAGGTTTAGAGTTAGGATTTGGAGTAGGGATAGGGGTAGGGGTAGGATTACGAGATTAGGTTAGGGGTCGGGGTAGGTGTTGGGTTAGCAGTAGGGTCAGGGTTAGGGCTCGGGGTAAGGGTAGGGGTATGGTTACCGATAGGGTCGTGTACGGGGTCAGTGTAGGGGTAGGGTTAGGTTTAGAGTTAGGGTTTGGAGTAGGGGTAGGTGTAGGGATAGGCGTAGGGTTAGGGGTAGGGGTTGGGGTATGGTTAGGGGTAGGGTCGAGTTCGGGGTTAGTGTAGGGTAGAGTTAGGTTTACAGTTAGGGTTTGGAGTAACAGTAGGTGTAAGAGTAGGATTAGGGTTTTTCATAGGTTTAGGATTAGGTTTAGGGATAGGGATAGGGTTATGGGTAGTGGTTGTGGTTATGTGCCATGAAGTCGGTTACTACTCATAGCAGCCCTGTACAGGGTTTCCGAGGCTATAAATCTTTACAGGAGCAGAAAGCCTCATCTTTCTCTCATGGAACAGCTGATAGTTTCAAACTGGTGACCTTGCAATTTGCAGCCCGATTCGTAACCACTACACTACCAGCGTATGGAAAGTGTTAGGGTTGCGGTTAGGGTTAGGGTAAGGGGTAGATGTTAGCCCCCACTCACCCAAACACTTCCAGCTGTAGGTCAGGAACACAGATGTTGTCCTCTCCACAGTCCAGTAGGATCTGTGCCTAGGGAACGCGACAGCCTTGATTGAGGAAGAGGGTTTAGACCCCTCCTGCGTTGGGTTATGGGAGGCCCTCTTCAGGGCTTCACCCTCATGGCCTCTCTTCTCCTGGGTCCTAATCGTTACCTTGTCCTCTATCCGGCTCTTGCTCTGGTAATGCAGGACAGGCTGGAGGCCGTAGCTGTCCACGGGGGCTTGGTGGTCCAGGGAGAAGGTGAGGGCGATGTGAATTGGAGAGAGTTTATCTCGGAACTCTGACTCGTTCTGGGACAGGGGACAGGATTCACAGAGTCAGGGACTCTGGGGACTTGGTGGTCTGTCCACTCAGGTCCAAAAGAATCAAGGAGTCCAAACCTGACCAGTCTCATTGCCTCAGGGACCTCAGAAGCCTGTTCCCAGTCCCTCTAACATAGGGCCCCTTCTTTGGCCCCACACCCTTGGTTGGAATGTGACTATCCTTCCCTGGCCTCACCCCACTGCAGCCAGGAGCATACCCGGAGGTAGATCTTCATCTCTCTGCAGTCTTCCCGAGCCCCATTCTGGATGAGCAGGGTCTGGGTCAGGGTTGACTGCTGGGAGGCCAGGAACAGTGCCCGCCGCACTCCTCCTTTCTGCTTCTGCCAATCCAACTGAAGCTCCACGGCAAAACCTATGGTGGGACCAATGTCAGGATACTCTGCCTCTCCCTCCTCATCTATTCAGAGAGAACGCAAGTGTCCATGCCCCCAGCCCTTCCACTCCCAGACCCAGGCAGCCTCCCTCACCGATGGAGTCAGGGACATGTTTTCCAGAAGCATTGAGGCAGAAGCTAAGGTTGATGCTGGAGAAAGACCAAGAAGAAAGCTGATGAACCCAACTGGAACATCCTATTCTCCATCTACCTCCCAGCCACACCCAGATGGCATACCCTCATTTGTCCTCGTCTTAAGACAGACCTGGTCCCCCACTGACCCCTAGACTTAGGTGTCTGCGATTTCTTGGGCCCCAGCTCACCAGGACACAGGGTTCCCCTCTAAGCGACAGCTGTGCTCTTCTGGATTGAACATGGCAGGGAATATAGTGAGGGAGGCACTGGCAGACACGATGGGACGGCCCCTGTGGAGAGCGGATGTAGACAAACCTTAGACTCCAAGTAACCTTGGTACAGGAACCTGGCAGCCAACCCCAGCACAGACTCCCAACCTCAGCCTTACTGGGAAATCCCCCAGTTCTACTTGCCCCAGGTTGCTCCCCCAGTTCATACCTGTACACCACAGCCTTGTCCACACCAAAGGCCCCAACTATAAGATCTGCAAGAAGTCAAGAAATCATCCTTGACAATAAACCCCCATTTAGGATCCTTCTTAACTGTCTAAAAAGGATGGATACCTAGTTCCATTGCTTAAGGCTGAAGTGAGGTAACAGAGCCACCTGGTGGCTGTAGTCTAGAACTGTACCCAGATGTTTTGTGCCATTGAGTCGGTTCCCATAGTGACCCTGTTTAGGGTTTCCAAGGAGCAGCTAGTGAGCTTGAACCACCGACCTTGCAGTCCAGCGAATTAACCCACAGCACCAAACCAGGACTCCGTACCCAGATATAAGAGCTTGGAAAGGTGGATGTAGGAGGTCTGTGATCAGGGACTCTAAGGTGAAAGGGGCCTCAGGCACAACTCACCAGGATATCCATTGCCATCCAAGTCTCGGCCTCCTCGCAGGGCAGAGCCAAAGAAGTTCGGGGTGTGGCCAGCTTCCCACAGGGGTAACAGAACCTGGGAGGGCTTGGAGCCCAGGCCCCCTGGGCCCCCAGGGAATATAAGCACCACTCCTTGCTGGGTCTCCCCACCAAACGGCACCCCAATGGCCACATCTGTAAGGTACACACACAGAAGTCAGTAGTCCTGGAATCCAGGGGTTCAAATCTCTTCCATGGGACCTTTTGTTGTTGTTGTTGTTAAGTGCCATCGAGTCGGGTCCGACCCATAGCGACCCTGTACAGGGTTTCCGAGGGTGTAAATCTTTACGGGAGTAGAAAGCCTCATCTTTCTCCCGCGGAGCGGCTGGTAGTTTCGAACCGCTGACCTTAAGGTTCGTAGCCCGATTCGTAACCACTACGCTACCAGAGCTCCTTAGGACCCTATTTTTTCCCATATGTCAAACTAAAGATCTAGATATCAGGACTAAAGTCTCCACACCTCCACAGCAAGTTACTGGGGGTCTTAGATGAAAACTACACTCCCCCAAATCCCTGACTCAGTCCCTGACTCCACCTCAGCTTCCTGAGTCCATGGTGTTTACCATTGTAGCCATCCTGGTCCAAGTCCCCTAGAGGGGTCAAGGAGCTGCCAAATCGACCAAACTCATCATGGCCAGTGAGGGTCAGAGTGGGCGTGGGCTCCATGCCAGATGGGTGCTGCAGGTAGACGTAGACCCTGCCCACCTCCTGGGCCCGTCCGTCGGCTGTCCGCTCCATGAGCAGGGGTGCCCCTACCAGCAGGTCATCTAGCCTGAAAGAAGGGACAGAACACAGGTATCCAGATACTCTGCCTTGCCACCAATCCCAGTGCCAGAAAATGGCAGGCATTTTGAACCCCATTCCTTGGAGACACACACCACTCATCTCTGACTCCCTGATGCTCTCTCACCCATATCAGAAGATCTGCGATGTTCTAGTGTTTAGCTCTTAGCCCTCTCCTGGTCCCTGAGCAAAGGGGACCCAGAGAAAAGATTCTGGAAAAAGAATTCTCCTATTTCTCTGCCCACCCCTACTCTTCCGTCCTGGGCCTGGAAAGATTATAAGGTCTGCTCCCCACCTTTCCCACTACTTACCCATCCCCGTTGATGTCCGTGGCAGCCACTGCATAGCCAAAATAGGAGGCCATCTGAGAGGACAAGGGGGCAGCACTAAGACACAACTACCTACCTCACTGCTATCCAGTTAATGCTCACATCCTGGTGTGGTGCTGTAGGATAATGCACTGGACAGCAAGGTCAGTTTGAACTGAAAGGTCAGTGGTTCAAACTCACCAGCTGCTCCTCAGAAACCCTATACAGGGTCACCATGAGTCGGAAGCAACTCAGCAGCACTTAACAACAATATGGAGTAGAACTGCTCCTTAGGATTTCAGAATCTAAATCTTTATGGGAGCAGACAGTCTCCTCTTTCTCCTGCAGAGCAGCTGGTCTATTTGAACTGACAACCTTACGGTTAGCAGTCCAACAGTGAATCCACTGCATCACCAGGGCTCTTAGAGTTAGAACTAAGGAGTCAAGAAACTTGAGCACTCCAGAGAGGGGGAGTGACTGTGTGCTGAAGACCTGGGAGGTACGGGGGGAAGGATTGCATGGAGGGGATTGTAACCATGGCAATGAGACGATATACGATAGAATGAATGTAAGACTGATGTTCTCCCATGTAAACTATCACATAATTCACAATAAAACATTAAAAAAAGAAACTCGAGCACTAGGCCGTGTGAAAGGAGCTCTGGTAATGTAGTGGTTACGAATCGGGCTGTGAACCGCAAGGTCAGCAGTTCAAAACTACCAGCAGCTCCACGGGAGAAAGATGAGGCTTTCTACTCTCGTAAAGATTTACAGCCTCAGAAACAGGGGTACAGGGTTGCTATGAGTTGGAACCGACTCCACGGCACACGGCCACCACCACAAGGCAGTATGAGGGGTGTTCAGAGGTTGGGATGTTGGAATGACGGTGCTAGGTCAGGCTCGGGTTTGGTTTTCAGAAGGCCAAACAGGGGGGTGTCCTTACCTGTTCCCCTGAGAAGTTGTAGAGGGATTGAATGTCTGAGCCATTAAGGATGGTGACCTGGGAGGTAAGGAGACAGGCCCATTGGTTTTGGACTCCCAGAAAATCCCAAGGATGGAGGGCAGATGGGTACAGGGCACCCAGGGACAGGCATTCCTTGGAGACACACACCACACTCATCTCTGACTCCTTCCTGAGTTTTGCCCTCCATTTCCATTTCTCTAATGGGTAGCTCCAGCCACGCCGGCTTTTTTCCTTATCACTAAACACCTACTGACATATTTCATATTTATCTGTCTGTCATCCATCTCTGTCCACCAGAATGTAAGATCTATGAGGCAGGGACCTGGTTTCATTCTTTGCAAGCAGCAGACACTAATTATTAGCTGAGTGATTGAATGTACTCACACCCAACATGTTCAAAACCTGTTAATTCCTCATCCTCCAGTGCCCCACAACCCATAAATGTCTACCCTTATGTTCCCCCTTAGCAAGTGGTCTCACAGTGCCCCTAAGTCTCTAGTACCTGTGTTCTCTTCCCCACTCTCTGAGCTTTCTGGTGGGAGACCAATCCCTGGGCTGCTGGACAACCTCCTAGCCAGTCCTTCTGCTGCAGGGTCCCCTTCCCCTAAGAACCTTGACTTCCCACCCCACCCCCACTGCAGTTAGACTGACTAACTGCCTTAGAGAGAGCCAGGGTGACTACCTCAGACCTGGAAACCCACAGTGGTTTGAAGTGCTGCCCACACTTCAATGTCCTAGAGCATCTGACTTGAATCTGTTTCTGCTCAATCTCTTCCTATTTCCCTCTCCTCAGTCACTTCATGAGTCTTCTAAACTGGTGTTGTCTTTTCCTTTTCTTCTATGTCTTTCTTCGTGGTTTAGCCTAGAATGTTCTTTCTTCTCATCTCTACTGATCCATCACAGAACCTTTTATGATTCATTCCCATCCCTAGAAAGAAAGTCATTGCTTCCCCTAAAATCTCTATCACCTTAACCACTTTTCTGCAATTTACAATATTTCAGAAATAGCGCTGACTTTGGAATAAGACAGACTTGGTTTCAAATATTTATCCAGATGTTTACTAACTAGATGATCTTAAGCAACATACTTGTTCTCTTAGAGCCTTAGTTTTCTCCTATGTAAAATACCATGGTAATATCTACCCCATAGGCTTGTTATGAAGAATAGAAATCACGAATAGATAGTGCCTGATGCATTGAGGGCTCATAAATAGTAGATCCAATTAGATTATAATTATGTGTGTGTATGTCTTATCTTACCTACTTGATTAGAAGAGATGAGGTACGATGCCTTTTTCATCTTCTTTATCTCTTACCTTGCCTTAATAAATGTTGTTAATTAAATGAACTCTTATGGCATTCCTATCTGTACCCTTCTAAAAGCACTTGTCATGGTCTAATAATAACAGCTACTAGTTGTAGATTGCTTAACAATTCACTCAGTACTTTCTCATGCATTATCTCATTACAGCCTTACAAGAACCTTGTGAGGTCAGAACTATTATTATCCCCATTATACAGAGGAAAATGAGGCTTAGAGGGGTTAGGCAGGTTCAGGGTCTTCTACGGATTGAAGCAGAGTATAACAGAATGACTCACCTAGAGGGAGTGGCACAACTTGAACCCAAGTCTGACTCCAGAACCCAGGTTCGAATCTATCTTTTGAACTCTCACAAACTGCTATGTATGCTTGTGATCAATCAGGGAGAGAGAAGGAGTTGGGGAGGGTCAGGCTGGATCTTACATAGCCATAGGTGAGGTTCCCTTTGGGTACACCAGCAACAAAGTCTGCAAAAGAGAAAAGACCGTTGTGGTTGAGAGTTGGGGAAGGGGAGTCACAACTGTGGTAGGTCTCAGTACTGGGTCTTTATCCTCCCCCAGTCCGGAGACACACTCACCTTCTGTGTCATCACCGCTGAATTCACCTACAGCCAAAGAGTATCCTGCAGGCCAGAGTAGGTGGATGGTTAGCATCCTTGTTTCTGGGACTCTTCTGCCTTGGCCCACCCCAAACTCCCCCCTCACTTCTACTGAGTCCTTTCCATCAGCCTTCACAAAACAAGTGTAGCGGAGACACCAAGGTGCCCACATGGGAGAGGGAGGCAAGGGGGCGAGTGAGGCTCTCCCAAGGCTGATGCCACCCCACTTGCCCACTCACCCAGGTAACTATCATCATAGATGGAGCTGGCCTGGCGAGTCTGCAGCTGCCCTTGAACCAGGTTGATCAGGTACTCGGCATAGTAGGATTCTGCAATCTGCTCCTGGGTGGCAGACAGAATCTGGCCTGGGGAAGGGGATGAGGAGGGGATGGATGTGGGGAGGGAGGTGGAAAGGTTCAAACTCACCAGCCACTCCTCAGAAACCCTATACAGGGTCACTATGAGTCAAATCCGACTCCACGACACTTAACAACAACAGGGGCTGAATACATAGGATTTTAGAAGTCTGGTTCAAAGAAAGGAAATGAGTGGAATGTGGTGGGATAGAACATGGGAATCTCAAGAAGATAAAAGGAGGGCTGGGGTAGGAGCTGAGGAAGCAGAGGAGGGAAAGATTGGTGATTTTAAGCTGGGACAAGGGATGAGAAGCTGTGTGCAGGGGCCAAAAGATGGCAGAGGAAGAACTTACCTTGCCAGAAATAGCTCCCTGGTCCACCCAGCACCACACGCCCAGTCTGAGGGGAGAAGAGATGAGTCCAACTTCTGGTTCTGTTCTCCAGGTTCCCCTGCCCTGCCCCAGCCCGCCCCAGCTGCCAGTGGCCTTGTGGTTGCCTGTGCTAAGCCCTGATTCGTAACATATGTACCTCTCCTGGTAGTACTAGCTGCTCTGACTTCCTGTTATTTTATTTTATTTTATTCTTGTATCGGTTGCTTATTTTCCAATTACTTGCAGACTACTAAACAATACCCATGATTTCTTGATCATAGCTTATGAGTTGATTTTATGAAAACTTTCAGGACACTTCCTTACCTTGGTAAGCTCAGCACTGAAGCCCCCTTGGCAGTAACCCTGTCCTACTGCCAAGCTGAAATCTGTGAGGGAAGAATGTGGTGAGGAGGAACTCTGCACAGGTGGGTCACACAGGAAATAGGTACGAGCATGGGGAAGGAGATGGGAGAAGGAATCAGACAAAGGGCTTCCCTAGACAAGACAGAAAGGCTAATGGGGGGAACCAGCCTCGAACACACAAATCAATCAAGTAGAGAAAGCAGACACAGGGCACAGATTTTCTCTTGTCCCTACCTGAGCGGCAAGGTGCATACTCCAGAATTCGGGTGAAATTGTCTGTGGAGAGGTAGCAGGTACCCACAGGATCACTCAGTGGTTCCTTCTCTGTGCGCCAGCTGTACAGTGGGGCACAGGCCTAGAGGGGCCAGAGGAGAGGGGCTGCAGGGTTATCTGGCCTCATCCCCTAGTCACCATACCACTGAGTCCACCCACCTACTTACCAAGATGGAGGAGCCATGGGCTCGAACTGTTGCCCCGAACCATTGCAAGGACTTGAATTCCACAAGCTCCTCTCCCTGTGCGGTGGGCAGTGAAGACTCTAGAATCCGAGAACCTTGGAGAAGTGAGAGAAGGGAGTCATGCTAGGTACAGGGCTTCACGGGCAGCTGAGCCTTAGAGCAGCCTTCACTTTCTTCTCCAGGAGAAGTCTCTACCCTCAGCCTGGGAATGCCAAGCACTTCCAAGCCTTGATCTCCCATGGTTCACTGGGAGAGAGGTGTGGGAAAGAATAACAGCCCAACTCACCAACCCACCCTTCACACACACACACACACACACACACACACACACACACTCACACACACAGAGACTATGGGGCTTCCCCTGGCTCCTCTCCTAGCGGAGACACGATGCTCCTAGTGAAGAAGGAGTAAGGGAGCTAGCTGGTAGAGATGGTAGGCTATTTCCCAAGAAGGTAATCAATCCTCTGGCTGTACTCCTTGTCCTTATCTGTGTTTCTAACAGCATCTCACTCCATCTCTTTGCTTGACCTTTTGGGAACCTCTGTCCCTCTGTCTTCTTTACTTTCTCTCTGTCTCTCTCTTTCCAAGCCCTAGATCTGTTCTCTATATAACAGCTTTTCCTATTTTTCCGATTCTTATCAGTCTTCTAGGTTTTTTAAAAATGAAACTATTTCATGATTCTGCCCCCCACACCGTCTCCATCTTTCAGATTTTTCTGTACGTCTTCCTTTTTGTCTCAACCTGTCTTTATCTCTGGAGTCAAACTGCTTGAATTTATTTCTTGGATCCACTATTTAGTAGCTGTGTGGTTGTGGACAAGTTACTTAACCTTTTAGTTTCCTCACCTATAAAAGGGGAATAATACTGCATTTGTTGTATACTGTTGTTTTCTACTCATAGTGACCCTCTATACAGTTTCTGAGAGCAGCTGGTGGGTTTGAACTGCCAACCTTGTGGTTGGTTACCAGTCAGTGCTTATCCACACCGGGGCTCATAATACCTCGTGTTGTTATTGTTAAGTACCATTGAGTCAGTTCCCAGTCATAGTGATCCTGTATAGGGATTCTAAGGCTTTAAATCTTCATGAGAGCAGAAAGCCTCCTCTTTCTCCCCCAGAGCGGCTGGCAGGCTCAAACCATGGACCTTGTGGTTCCAAGTCCAGTGCTTACTATTTGGAGCCACTGTGCTCCTGACAATACCTCATGTTGTTTTTGTTGTTAGGTGCCATCGTGTTGGTTCCCACCCATAGTGACCCTGTGTACAACAGAACAAAACACCACCGGCTCCTGTACTATTCCCACAATGGCGGCTACACTAAAGCCCATTCTTCTGCCATTATGCCAATCTATCTTGTTGGGAGTCTCCTTCTTTTTCACTGTCCCTCCACTTTACCAAGCATGTCCAAACTATGAGAAAGAAGTCTGGCCATCTTGGCTTTTACGGAGCATTCTGGTTGTACTTCTTCCGATACAGATTGGTTTGTTCTTCCGGCAGTCCAAGGTACCTTTAACATTCTTCACCAACATCATAACTCAGATGCATCAATTCTACGGTCATCCTTATTGTCCAACTTTCACATGCATATGAGGCTATTGAAAATACCATGGCTTGTGTCAGGTGCACGTTAGTCCTCAAACTGACCTTTTTGCTCTTGAACACTTTAAAGAAGTCTCGTGCAGCAGATTTGCCTAATGACTGCTGCTTCCATGAGTGTTGATAGTTGATCTGAGCAAAGTTCAGTCTTTGACAACTTCAATCTTTTCTCCATTTATCATGATGCTATTATTATTGGTCCAGTAGTGAGGATTTTTGTTTTCTTTACATTGAGGTGCAATCCATCCCTAACACTGTGGTTTTTGATCTTCATCAGATTTTGAGGCCTCTTCATTTTCAGCAAGCAAGGTTGTATCATCTATATATAGCAAGTTATTGATGAGTTCTTATAATTCAGCTTCTTGGATTTTTGCACAGCATACAGTCTGAGTAAGTATGATGAAAGAATACAACCCTGGTACACATCTTTCCTGATTTTAAACCACTCAGTGTCCCCTTGTTCTGTTTGAACGACTGCCTCTTGCTATGTACAGGTTCCTCATGAGCACAATTAAGTGTTCCAGAATATTAATTCTCTGTAACGTTGTTCACAGCTTGCTATGATCCACACAGTTGAAAGCCTTTGCATAGTTAATAAAGCACAAGTAAACATCTTTCTGGTATTCTCTGCTTTTAGGCAAGATCCATCTGACATCAGCAATGATATCCCTTGTTCCACATACTTGTATGAATGAATCTGGCTTGAACCTCTGGCAGTTCCTTGTCAATGTGCTGTTTCTGAATTATCTTTAGAAAAAATTTACTTGCATATTAATGACATTGTCTGAATTATCTTTAGCAAAATTTTACTTGATATTAATGACATTGTCTGATGATTTCCACATTCCATTGGGTGTTGAAATAATCCTTTCAAATGAATGAATATATGTGATGGATTTACAACAGCGTATGGTGCAGAGAAATACTCTATAAGGTGGTTGGTGGTGATGCTGACTCATAGTGACCTGGTATAGAGTTTCTGAGGCTGTTATTCTTTGGTGGTGGTGTGCGTGGAGTTGGATCCGACTCATAGTGAGTCTGTATAGAGTTTCTGAGGCTGTAAATCTTTACTGGAGCAGAAAGCCTCCTCTTTCTCCCAGGGAACAGCTGGTAGTTTCGAACTGCTGATCTTGAGGTTAGCAGCCCAATTTGTAATCACTATGCTACCAGAGTTCCTGTTAATCTTTACCAGAGGCTTGGCTGGTGGATTTAAACTGTTGACCTGTGATTAACAGCCCAATGCATACATACCCCACTATGCCACCAAGGCTCCTTTCTATAATGGTTGGGTGGTGGTGGCTGTGTGCTATGGAGTCGGTTCTGACTCACGGCAACTCTGTATTGGGTTTCTGAGGCTATAAATCTTTATGGGAACAGAAAGCCTCATCTTTCTCCTGCTGAGTGGCTGGTAGTTTCAAACTGCTGTCCTTGTGGTGAGCAGACCAACTACACTATCAGGTTTCCATTTCTATAAAGGTTAGTTGTTATTTATTATTTGTCTTTAGTCTCTGTCTTGGTAAAGTGGAGGGTCAGTAAAAAGAGGAAGCTCCCCCAACAAGATGGTTTGACACAGTGGCAGCAGCAGTGGGCTCAAGTGTAACAACAATTGTGAGGATGGCGCAGGACTGGGCAGTGTTTCTTTCTGTTGTACATAGGGTTGCTGTGAGTCGGAGCCAACTTCACACCACCTAACAACAAATCTCTGTCTCCCTTCTATCTACTTTGCATCTACTCCAGACCCTGGGTTCCTGCAGAGTGGTGGCTGAATCATCTTTAAATCCTCGGCCGCATCCAGCACAGTGTCTGGCATGTACTAATACTTACTCAGAGTTTAGTTTAATGAAGTCAATGGTCTGAGTGACTCCCCTGTCTTTGTCTGTGTTGTTGGCCCGGCTGTCCTGAGTTGTGGGTGATTCAGGGGAAATGAGAGCCACATGTTTGTGAATCATGCCCGCCCTCTGGGTTGGGCTGAACTGGGAACATGGTGCAAGTGTTGTAGAGAGCTGGAGAACCAGAGGGCTAGGAGGGCACGTGGCCACCGGCATGGGACAGGCTCCACCCCTAGCTCCACACACCACTCAGGCCCCACTCCCAACCCCAATCTGCAGTCCCTTCCCCCAGTTCCTCCTTGAACTTCTTCTGCCTACCATGGGGACCGGTTACCTTTGCTGTCAAATTCGATGGGGGTACACTGTGAGGCGCCGGTGCCCCAGGGGCAGAGGTAGACAGCGCCACCCTGCAGCACTCCAGGTTGGCTGGTGTTAGCCTTGGGGGCTCCCACCAGCACACTTACCCTGTGGAGCAAAATAGAGGCAGATCAGGAGCAGCTCCTAGCTTTCAGGATGCAAAAAGGATCCAGGCCCCAAGTCTGTGGGCCTGGGCTGGCTGGGGGGTGGGGTAGATGCCCCCTAGGTTGTATTTATATCTCAGAAGATGCCACAGATGCCAGAGGCACAGGCTGGAGTCAGCCAGTCCCCATGTGCCGCTGTCACTAACACTCCCCTCCCTGCCTCGGCCACTCTCTCTCCTCTCCTATCTTCACAGGGACTAAAGGGAGGGGGAATTAGAGTCAATTTTCTGAAGGGGAAGGACCAGAGGGCCTGGACCCCAGTTTCTTTCTCTCCCCACATCACTCCTTAGGTTAGATAAGCAGCCCTGGGAACTCCAGGGTCCTGTCATCTAGCCCACTCTTTCTAACTCTAAGCCAAAGCCCTTCCCTGGGCCAAGACCCAGGCCTCCAGATGCCCAGTCCTGGGGTGTGTAGGAGGAAAATGTGAGTCTTGGAAATCAGGCAGCAGAAGCAGAGAGAGGAGCTGGAGGACTGGTGAGAAAGGTTACTTGTGCCTGGGCCTGCCCTCACTCCAAGGCCCTAGTTTGGGCCTCCCCATCCTGGCCAGGTCTTTGTCTCAGCCTCTCTCACACACCATCCCCAAGAGTCAGAATCCAGATCTGTTCTCCTGGTGTTCTAGTGCAAGACACGGTACCTCAGGCCCCTGAGAAAGTGAAGAGAATTTGCCTCTGACAGTGTCCTATGGAATGGAATGGTCATTGCTAATGTCCAGAGTAATCTGCCCATTTCCAAACCTGAGCCCCTTGCCCTGATGCCTTCACTGGGCTCTCACCTTTGTGTATTTCTCATTTAGTGCCTCCCAGGAGGACTGCATCTGGCAGCCTGGGCAACTCGACCCTGGGCCAGTGCCCTTGACAGCCTCTCAATTTCTCTGCCCCTCTGCCCCCATGCTTACTTGGTCTCTTAGTTTCAGTTGTTTTTTTTTTTTCTTTCTCTTTATCTCAGATCTTGGGTTTCTCTATCTCTAATGATTTCTGTTCCCTTTCAGCGTTCAATGTTTCCAATATCTACTCCTTCCTTGCTATTTGGGTACTTTCTTTAAGTTTAACTAGGAAAGAGCCTAGATCGGAGACATGGTTACTGTTTGTTAACTGAGTGGGTTCCAACTCATAGCGACCATAGGGTTTCTGAAGAGTGGTTGGTGGGTTTGAACCACTAACCTTGTGGCTAGTGGTCCAATATTCATCCTACAGTGCCACATCAGGACTCCTGGAATGTAGTTGTTGCTGTTAAGTGCTGTGGAGTTGGTTCCGACTCATAGTGACCCTGTCTAGAGTTTCCGCCTTAAAAGCAGGGAGTGTCTTCAAAGAAGACTAAGTACAATTGAGTGGGAGAGGGATGAGAGAGGTGGGGGTCCAGATGGATTGTTGTTATTGTTGTTAACTGTCGATGTCCAGTCATGTGCCATCAGCTGTGGGCTGGACCCAGGAGGAACAGGGATGGGAATACCTGAGAGGAGGTCCAAGGGACTGAGTGGGGAGTCAAGAGAGGTTTATGAGGGTCAGGGTATGGAGGAGGGGGAAGGCAGAGCTGAGGGGTAATAAAGGTGGGGGTGGGCAGGAGAGGAGGACTCCTGGAGTGATGGGGGTGGGGTGCCAGCCTCAGTTAGTTACCCAGGGGACAGGAAATGTTTACTACCAGTGATTTCCTGTCAGTTTCCAACCTCTCACTTCGCCACCCACCCCCCAGAGGGCCCCACCCCTCTCACTCAGGCATCACACCCAGTTAGGGGGTCACTCCAAAGGCACAGTGACCTGGTCAGGTGACCAGGCCCCAGTAGGTAAGATTGGTGGGGGGAGAGGAGGAGAGATTGCATTGTTCCAGCACAGAGTGAGAAAAGAAGGGTATTGTTGTTGTTAAGTGCTGTCCAGTCGGTTCTGACCCGTAGCCACCCTGTATGGGGTTTCTGAGGAGCAGCTTGTGGGCTTGAACTGCCAACCTTGTGGTTCAAACTGACTTTGCAGTCCAGTGCACTAACTCACAGCACCCCACCAGTACTCCAAAGAAAGAAGGGTAGAGCCTCCCTTAGAACTGTCTCCAGAGAACTTGGCTGGTACCCTCAGGCTCAGAAAGCAGAAAGGGCCCTGGACGTGAACTAGACTGTAGCAGCTGTGTGAACAGAAGGCTAGGCAAAGATCAGTGGACCAGGATGCTGGCAGTAGCTCAGTGTTGTTGTTTAGTGCTGTTAAGTTGGTTCTGACTCATAGCGACCCTGTACAGGGTTTCCAAGAGTGCCTGCTGCTTTTGAACTGCAGACCTTGAGGTTAGCAGTCCAGTGCCTATCCTACAGCAGGGATGGGAGAACCTTTTTTCTGCCAACATTTACAATATCATTTGTGGGCCACAAAATTATCAACTTAAAAATTAGCCTGCTATATTTTGTCAAACATTTAATGAACTCACCCCTAATCGGAAACCCTATGCAGGGTCATTATGGGTTGGAACTGACCGGCACTTAAAACAAAAATGTGATGGCTGGAGTCCTGGTGTGCCACTGTGGGTTAATGTGCTGGACTGCAAAGTCAGTTTAAACTGCAAGGTCAGTGGTTCAAGATGATCAGCTGCTCCTCGGAAACTTTATATAGGGTCGCTATGAGTCAGAACCGACGTGACGGCACTTAACAGCAACAACAAGGTGTTGGCTGGAACTGCAGGGCCAGACCAAATGACTTCAGGCGCTGCAGGATCAGCACTGGACTGTGAACCACAAGGCAGGCAGTTCAAATTGACTGGGCGCTCTTTGGAAACCCTGTAAGGGTTGCTATGAGTCAGAACGGACTCGACAGCACTCAGTAACAACATATGGCCCGCTGGTCGGGTCGGACATTCCCCACTCCTATCCTACAGCATCACACCAGGGCTCAATTGTGGACAGGGGCAATAATACCCTTTCCCACTTTCTCTGAGTGAAGAAGTTGAGCACGTTTTCTCACATCTCCTGGAGCTCTGACATTCTATTTCCTGGAAAGCACCAAGTTGGGGCCAAGGGATCCTGCTCCCATTCCCAATTTGGGGTCTGATAACTGTTAGGATGGCCTGAGGATGAAGCCTGGAGTTTGGCATGGTTGGAAGGTAAGACACAGGCCTTACAAAGTCCACAAGGCACAGACATAGGCTCATATCTATTCTGACTGTGTGAAGGTTCAGGAGACCTGGCATGCATGAAAGCTCAGCCCCGGCCTGCCCCTGCCTACCAAAAACAAACAAACAAAACCCAAGCCCATTGCCACGCAGTCTGACTCAGAGTATCCCTACAGACAGAGGAGAGCTGCCCCATAGTGTTTCCAAGGCTGTAAGCTTTCTCCCACTAAGGGGTTGGTGGGTTTGAACCTTTCGATCTGATCTTTCAGTTAACAGCTGAGCACTTAAACAGACTCCTTTTCCCTTACTACCACCCATGGTTTATTCCTGAGGATTAAGTGGCTCTTCAATCCCAGCTTTTCCAGATCAATCCAATAAACAACTCTCTCCCACACGAGGCACCTTGTGCCAGGAATGCCATGTAAAATAGCTTGTCCTTATTCTCCCATTCGGAGTTTCTGCTTCTCAAGTTTTGTAGCAGTTGGGCCCTCAGTAGGCATCTAAGAAGGTAACAGTGGAGGGTCCTCAGGCTATTTTCAATACTTCAGAAAGCATAACGGAAATCATGCACTTACCTGATAAGGGGGCCCAGGCTAACTAAAACCTCAAATGTATTTGCTTTTGGCTGGAATTATATCAGCTCATGTGGGAAACCTGGTTATCTCATGCTGGTCAGAAGCTCTGATTGGCAGCTATGGATGTTTTTTGGTTAATAAAAAATGGAAAAAGTAATTATTCTTGACAATATAGTTTGGCAGATAAACTCTTCAAAACTATGGAGTCCAAGAAAAGAAACAATTGTCATCATTTATTCTGAAGATAGAGAACTCTGAGTCCTCAAGTTGATCTTTGGAGACCCAGGTGACCACAGCTGGAAGGCATAGTAGAGCATCTACTGGTTTTATGGCTTTCTTATCGATGCCTCAACACTGGGAGGCTGGCATGGTCTGGACACACCTGCCCATCTTCTTTCAGAACAACCTCTTTTATCTGTTTTATGTAGTATGCCCTAAGGTATCATTAAAAGAGATTCTGTTATATTGATATATATAACAATATTTCAATATTTTATATCATTTGAATTTTTATCTCTATAAAAAATCCTTAATTAAAAAAAAAATTGCTCCTTAAGAAAAAGTTTAAAAACTGCTGACCTAGCCTCATGCCCTCATTTTAAAGATGAGAAAACCAAGTCCCAGAGAAATTAGATAATCTTTCCAAGGTTACTCAGAGTCCTTCCTAGCATAAGAACCAGAAGCCAGAAATCCTGATTCTTAGGCTAGTGTTCTGGTCTACTTCTTGTCAGTTTATCTCGTCCTCTCCACTATCTCCCCAACCAGGCTTCTGATTAACCAAGTCCCCGTTCAATATGCAGTTACTGTTTGACTCTGTTGGCCTGACAAGGTTGGGGGTGGGAAACTGCAGATGGACCAGGGCCTGGCTCTAGGTTCTATAGCAGTCCTGAACAGGCCAGAGGAGAACACCTTTCTTCCATAAAGTGCTGGTGGGTTTGAACCTTCGATCTTCCAGTTAACAGTTGAGCACTTAACCAGTGACTCCTTTTCCTACCACCCATGGCTTATTCCTGAAGATTAAGAGGCCCTTCCATCCCACCTTTCCTAGGTCAATCCAATAAACAATGCTTCCCTCAAAGTGCCAAGCAAGGCACCTTGTGCCGGGAATACCATGTTAAATTGGCCTTATTCTCCCATGCCAGAATTTCTGCTTCTCAAATTCTACAGCAACTGGACCCTACAGGCATTCAAAAAAGTAACCGTGGCGGGTCCTTAACCTGTTTTCAATATTTCGGAACGCATAATGGTGCATTCATTCTCAAGGGGATTTGCCTGGTTGGTTGGAAAGGAAGAGCTGCCTCTGCTTGGTTATACCTGTGGGTAATACAGATCTGGGTTGAGGCTGGTCCACCTTTCCAGCCTGTATTATGGGCCAAGTCACTTCCTCTCTGCAGGCCTAGGATTCTAAACCCATAACATGATGGGCTGCCTTTGAATGGTCCCTAAAGTAACGTCTAGTTGGAAACATCTATGACTCCTAAAACCTTGGTTTTTCTATATATAAAATGGGGCAATAATGTTAGCTCTGCCTAATACAAGGATCTTTTCCAGTGAAAAAATAGATATGTAAGCAAGTGCAAACGGAATGTGAAAGGATAGTGTTACTATCACTATTATAAGCAAGTACTAAAAGCAAGTAAGAAATAGGGAAAAGACAAAGACCTAAGTGGGCAGCAAAGAGACCCAGAAATAGAAAACAGCTACTCCATGAAAACATGTTTTGTATATATAGAACACCCTCTATGGACTAGGTGCCTTTCATGTATATTGTTTCATTGAATCCTCAGAACAAAAATCCAGTAAGGGGTAGAATCAGCATTTGCCTCCAGCCCTGCTGGTCCTTAAATCTTGGCCCTTTCCTTCCCAGGTAACTTCTCTGGTGCTCAGCTCTGTCCCTTGGTGCTGCTTCAGTATTCATCATGAGAGATGATGCAGGAGAGACCACTCATGCACCCTGTGGCCCTCCCTCTAGAGCAATGGCCATAGGTGATGGGCTATGTTTGTTCCAGGTGGGGGCTGGGGACGGAAGGCCCAGCTGTGGCAGGAGGTCATCAGGGAGGCAGCACGCTCTGAGTCCTACTCTAAAAGAAGACTGTAAAAAGCAAATGAGAGGGGGAGGAGTGCAAGCTGGACACCTGGGTTCTCTTGGGAGGAGAAATGAGCCAAAGGGAAGGGAGTTAGGGACGATAAATCTGGGTCCTATTTTAGAAAATGATGTTAGGGACTGTAGGATCAGGCCAAGGGCCAGACAGACACCTAGAGGACCAGGAGTTAGTATATGTGAAAGCCCAGATGTTTTAGAGGAGTGTTTTAAAAGGAGTGTTTTACCATTAGGTGGGAGGTAAGAGGAAGGTTAAAAGCCAGATAACCAAATACTTAGTACAGGGGAAGAAGCCTCATTCCTACCTTCCTTCCCCTTCTCTACTCCAGTAGGGCTGTGTTAAGAAGTTTAAGGGGGTCTAAGGGAAGCGAGGCCTGACAGAGAGGCTCCAGGCCAAGGTGATGCAATGGGGTTTGGGCAAGAGGCCAGTGGGGTGGAGTGGGGGTTGGGTGGGGACCTTGAATAGCCCAGAACCAACAGCTGGAGCCTTAACATCTTTCTTTTTCCCCATCCCCAAGGCCTCCAGACAAGGAGAAAGTTGCCGTTCTCACTCTCATTGGAATTTACTCTTTTCTCCAAAAATTAAAGAAAATGAGTAGAGATCAGTTGACTGTATTCCATGTGAGAAAACAGCTCACCTCTGACAGAAGTCCTATGAAACTCTGAGATACTTGGGGGAGAGGTGGTAGGGAGCAGTGGGAAGCTCAAAAGAGAAGAGGATTGCTGGGTGGTGGGGAGACCTGGCCTGGGGGGGGGGGCTCCCTGGAGCAGCCAGCCACCTTCCTCTCTCACTCCCCACATCCAAACCAATATCCTTATTCTTATGATGCCCTGCTCTAACCTTGGTTTCTCCAAGCCTGTGGGTACCCCACTTTCCTAGCATCCAGGATCCAGGGCTGCCTGTCACCCTGCTGAGCTGGAGATGAAGATTTTTTTTTTTTTTTTTGAGAATTCCCAGTCTCTAGCTATTCTGTTCTTGGGGCCCCTCGAGCCGGCGTCTCCCCAGCTTCCGACCTAAGCCCCAGAAGTCCCAGTCTCAGTTCAGCTCCAGCCGACAAGCTACAGGAAATCAGCTTTTCTCTTCCTCCCAAGAGCTAGAGGAAGAGGGAAACCGCCCACCCCCTTCATTCGCGCACACCCCTCCCGACACATCCGAGCACCCGCCCTTAGCTGAGCCCGCCCCCCAGCCCCGGCGCCCCCAGTGCCAGGATCCTGGGACTCCCCCCAAATTACCAATTCTTCTCATCTAAACAGAGATTGGGGTGGAGGGTGGAGTAGGAAATCGAGGAGAAGGGGAGGGAGCCGCCGTCCCCTGTCCTAGGTCTTTCCTTAGTCTGAGTTGAGGGGGGGAGGGGAGGATGAAGCTGGCCCCCCTTTAACCTTCCGACCCTCTCAGTCTCCGACTCCCGCTCATCACGCACAGCTCATTCCGCTTCTACCGGTTCTCTCTCTGCACAATGGTCCCCTTGGATCCCGAGGTCTCCCAGGGCCCCTCAAAGTCCTTCCCGGTCTCCGAGCCCCCTCCCGCCTCTAGTCCCGGCAGCCCTCGTATCGCAGCCGGAGACCCTCGGCTCTGTTCATTTACGCACTCTCCTCTCCCTTGGCCCCAAGACCCCGGCCCGGACTTCTCCAGCTTCCAGCTTCGTGTCCTCTCCCCACCCCATACATGTCTCCCCACTGATCTCTCTCAAACTCCAGGCCCCCCTTCACTCCAGTCACCGCTCCCTCCGTGCTCCAGCGCGGCCCTCAACTCCAGCGCGGGCCCCCAACTCCAGCCCTAGTCCTTCCAAACTCCGCCCCTCAAACTCCAGCCCAGGTCCCCTCCAGACCCCAACCGCGCCCCCAGTTTCCAAACCTTCCCCCACAACCCGCCGCCAACCCTCCGCACTCACCCGTCCGCCCCCGGCCGGTAAAACTCCACGGAGAAGCCGAAGAAGGAGCCCGGGGGTCCAGAGAGCACTACTGGGGCCTCCGCGTCTAAGTTGAAGCCCCCGACCCGGGGTGGCGGGGGCAACAGCAGCAGCAGCAGCGGCAGTAGTAGCGGCAGCGGAGGTCGGCGCCAGGGGGTCCAGCGCGGCTGCACGACGTGGAGAGGGAACCCTGGCGTCCGACTCCCCATAGCGTCCGCTCTACCCTGTCCTGGGGCCACCGACCCGGAGCCGCTTCCTAAACCTCCCAGAGGCGAATGACTCAACGCGGGGAGGAGTTACCAAACTCCCGGCTGAGCCCTCCCCCCGTCGGCCGGGGGAGCGGGTGGGGGGCATTCCTGGGTCCTTGGAACGCTGAGTCCGCGCCCCCCACCCCTAAGGGGCGTGGGGGGGCCGCACCTCTCCGCCCCTCTTTCCCCAGCCCAGCTGGAGACCGGTTGTCTGGACTGGGTCAGACTGGGCGGGTTTGGGCTCTTCCCCCTTTGCTGCTTCCCCCTCCGTCCGTTCCCCCCCTCCCCCCCGCCTTTCCAGATGTACAACGTAAACGCTCGGAAAAGGAGTCGGAAAAAGGGAGCGGAGAATTTCCTAAAGAGGAAAGGAATCACCTCTGGAGAGTGGAGGGAGCCTGTATGTGTGTGTAGGGTCTTCGTCACTTCTTCAGGGAAAAGATTTTGGGACTTTTCAATTGAAAGAGATAGGAAACTCCTCTGGCGTCTGACCAACTGGGATTCCCCCTTGCCGTCTTGGGGCCACCGGGTGCCTGGGTTCCCTCTAGCTGGATTTGGGACTCAGAAGTTGAGGTACAGAGCACTCTCCGGTGGCCTGAGAAAGAACCTACACCACCGACTCCTCTAGTTCC